ACCACACCCCCCCACCAACGCGTCGGGACACGTGACTACAAAATTATTTTGTCGTATCGCACGTGCTTTTCTACACGTGTCCCTGTTCCATAGCTTCCTCCGTACGTGGCGAAGCGCTCTTGTGTCAGCCTTCGAACAAAATATTTGCTTTCGCCACGTGTATTTCGTGTCCTAATTTACGGTCGCAATTATTTGAAAATAAAAATTAAATTAATCCACTAAAAAAGAAGAAATTAAGGAGAGAGAAAAATTCCACGAAATTGACAAGTAGAAAGGAGGGATGATGTGGCAATTGATAACGCCAACGCTTGTTGGAGGACGGTGGGACATGTTCGTCCTTTTCATTAATAGTTCTATCCCTCTCTTTGACAACCGAATATGCCTCCCAAAGTCCAAGATGCCAATTGCTGAAATTGCTGAAATCTTCCCGAAAAGTTTTTAATTGTTGCTAAGCGTCGCTTGAAGTTTGGTAATTACAATTATATCCCTTGATCTTTTGATATTCTTGTAAGTGGATCCTTCTGTGACATGAAAATATCTAAAATATTTATACAGTTATTTTAATTAAAATGTTTATTTTCTAAGTTTTTCTAGATATAAATTGTTACTCTAAATGCTTTTAATCTTTTTTTTAAATTGATTTATTTTCTAAATTTGTCCTTTATATCAATCGCTTTAAGATCAAACTGTATCTTTAATTTTTTTTTGTTTTTATAAAATTTATATTATTTTTTTAATAAAAATAAGCCTCAATAATAACTATATGGGTATTTTAGATAATTTTATGTTTCTTTTGAGAGGATCTTAATAAAATTGTCAAAAAATTTAAAGAAGATAATTACAATTGCCAAACTTTAAGGGAGGCTTCAGTAATTTACGCTAATATCTTTAACAGGGACAACTGCTTATTGCTGAATGCTGAAATGCACAGTTCTTAACTCGGTCAAGTCGAAAAATCTTAACTCGCCATTCACATCCGAATCGGTTTCAACTTTCAACTCATTGGAAACTACAACACAGATATTGAAACCAATAAGAAGGAAACTGAATCATCCAACGTGGCAAATGACGAACCACGTGGTAGACCAGAACCGTTGGTTTAAAAGATCAGATCCAAATGTGATGAACCATCGATCCTATTTGCCACGTGGCCCAAAATTTAAATGAAGTCTGTTGTAGATAACAAACCTCAATTAATAATAGTGAAGCCTGCAGCCCTTGAGACTTTTACCCTTAGATATGTTTGGTTTGATAGAAATTCAACAAGAGAGATATAGAAAGTTGAGAGAAAGTTTTCAATAAACTTTGCAAAATTTGTTAAACTCTTCAACTTTATGTTTTTCTCTTATTGAAACCAAACATGGCTTTTCCTGATTATAACAAAGTGGAAAACATTAATGGAGTTAACCTGTGATAATAAATAGCTATTTGCAATTTTTAATATTTATTGAATTTTAGTTTGATTAAAGTAAGGTTTTGTGTGGACTAATGAAGACAGAGAAAAAGAATTGGTTTATTATTGATTATTGGAAAATAGAGATAGCTACACATGTGAAGAACCACATATAAAGTAGAGGAAAAGGACATACATTTAGCTGTTTATTTGTGTGTGGTTGAGGAGGGGAGAGGAGATTTTCAAAGGGTTTCTCAAAATTCCAAAGATAATCTTGGGAGACAAAGTTGGGACATTCCTTGGGGCCCACCTTGAAAGTGATCTTAAATTGTTTCCACCAGCATCAATTGGAAAAATTAATTTGAGAAAATTTTGAGATTGTTACTGTTGCATTGTTGTCACTTTTATAGTATTATTACCATTTTAGAGGGTGTCTGTCCATGTATATGATTTTGTTTTTGCAGAAGAAAAAGAAAAGCAAAATCAATTAATACATTAGCAAAATCAGATGATTTGCTTTTAATATTCTTTTTATTACAAAACTCACCCTTTTAGAAACACATACAATTACCCATTTTCTTTCTTTACCACTGAGGAGCATTCCTCTCTTTAACCTATACTTGTTTAAATAGAATTTTAATTCTCCATGGGGAAGGGGTACTTCAATAACCTTCTAAATTTGTTTTGTTACTTAATCTAGTGGGTTTTTACAAAAAAAAAAAAAAAAAAGCTTATCTATAATTAATTGTAGGTAAACTTGTTTACGGGCCGGGCTTTGGGCCTGACTTTACACTATGTTGGGCTCAGACTTCGGGCCGGGCCCATTCAAAATTTAGCAAAAGTCATGCCCGAGCCTGGCCCATGAACAGGTCTAATTGTAGGTCTGCACATGGATGAGCCTCAATTGGAATCATTTAGCAGGTATTCTACACCTGTTTTGAAGTGTGATTTTGTTTTGAGAAGAAAAAACAAGTTGGTTTGTTTTAAAAATAATTTACATTTTTTAAACCATGTGGNTCAACAACATGGTTGGTTTTGTTTAAGAACAAAAAACAAAACAAATGATAAATTTTAAAACAAAAAACAAATGTTGGAGTTGCTTATCAAAAAAAAAAACACAAATATTGGAGTATGGATATTATAAATTCATTAAAGATGATTAGATATATTGTATGATTTAAAATAAATTTTTTTTTCGAAACCAGAAATTCAAGAACATGTTTTTTTTTTTGTTTCAATTTAAGAAAAAACACACATTTATGACTAAGAACATGTTTTTCCATGTTTTTTTTTAAGAAACATTTAGTTTTTAAGCCAGATGGTTTTAATTTGTTTTTAGAACTCATTGATTGTATTGGATTTCAAAATTTGGGATCCATTAATGAATTGGATCCCAATATTAATTATTTTGATACACTAACATCTAATTGAAGTATATATAATAATATAGCATGTATTTATATATAGATTATTTGACATTTTTTTAGAATTTTAATTTAAAATTCTTTAGGCAAAGTGGAATTTGATATTTATTGGTTTATGTTAAATAATTAAAAATCCCGGAATCTTATTAAATCAGATTTGATTTAATTTGATTTGATATATTAAAATCCTAGTTAATTGTAGATGGTATATCTACAATGTCATATTTCCCATCATCATCCTCGATACCTTATCTCAACTATATGAGTTTAGTTACATGAATCCTATTTCACCAACCCTTTCTATTTAAAACAATGCTCAATATTAAATTATTAGTGCTTAAATCATTTCTTTTTCTACAATATCATAATTTACATAAAAATTATTTTCTGAAATGAGATTGATGATTTTTTGTTTTCATAGAAGTGTGATCAATACTTCTTTTGAAATATAATACATACTACTTTCAAGGCATTTTGTCAACTTCTTAAACAATTAACTAAATGCTAATAAATTTGCCACGTGGCTATATACTTCAATTATATATTATCCTCTCCATGCTTTACCTTCTATTAGAGCACAACTTTTGCGTAAAAGATGACTTTTTAATTAAATAGCTTTTTACAATTATTATTAATAGTAAACATAAATATTCTTTAATAGCATAGCTAGGGGAAGGAGACAAAGTGACAAACCGTCCCCTCCCAATATCTTCAAAAATCATTTTAGTGGGTCCACTATATGTACATATATCGAAAGATGGGGCCCATATATCTATTGATATTATAAATTTCCCCACAAAATCATTTAACTGCCTCTTTATTCCAAGTTATTTTTTCACCCAAAGGTATTAAACTAATTACTTAGATTAGATTTGAGTTGGACCGGACCAGTTGGTGTTGTATCATTCCACGAGGTGACTACAGGATTAAGGACTCGTCACAGTCATCACACCAAATAGTCAAGTTCAAGGCTTTGTCAAGTTCGAGTTGAGTTGAGTCAACTCGACTCAACTCGCTTCACTCAACACGTTCGGACAGTCGGACAGGAGAGGGGAAAAGTAAGAATATGTAGCGCAAGCCACGGCGAGGTTATTAAGGAAAATCTATTTAGGGAGAGAAAAGCAAACGGCCATTTACTAGAATACCCCCTATACTTTTAAAGGTTTGTTAAAATCTATCTCGATAGTTTTTATTTTATTAAAACACTCCTTATAATTTTGTAACCTAGTTATTTAACCGTCCTTTTATTAAGAAGCAATGTTTTAAAAATCAACTAAGAGGTTGAACAATTTTTGCCTTCAGGTTGCAGTCACTGGTTCGATCGACTGGGTTGAATGATTCAGATCATGCCACATCATTGCATATATTTTATATTTAATTTATGTTTTATAATTTAGTTTTTATTTTTTTATTTATAAAAGCATTAAAAATTATAATTTGAGGCTGAAAAAGGTCTTTTTTTAGGGAAAATAGTAGGGCAAGGTGCCTTGGGACGCATAAATCTCGAAAAGTTACAAAAAAAAAATCACCCCGATTAAACATCGAAGTGCAAAATTATGATATTCGAAAGTTTTGCATGCATTAAGTATATAATTCGTGACCTGATCACCAAGTCAAACGAATCAACAGTTGAATTGGCTGGATCCAACAATTCTTGACGAAGTCAATAATTTTTGACTGTTTGATGGGTCTTGACTGAATCGAACTTGAAATCCTGGCCGAATAACAATCAAATGATTCGACCGACCGGATCAAGGGTGAATTGGAAACATTATTAAGAAGTATTTTTTTTGCCATTATGATCACTTAAACTTAGTGTAAAATGTCTAAGGGCAGGGGCTCGATTTTTTATTCTAAAAAAATAGACCAAAGCTAAATAGAGTCAAATATGATGATTGTTTATATTTTATTAAGGGCAAAATTAATATTTTTATTTTTATTTTTTAATTAAATTTATTTAAATGAACATTATAATCAAAACTATAGTTTTCATTATCATAACTAAATTGATTGCAAATTATAAGGAGTATTTTAATAAAATACAAATTATAAAGTAGGTTTTAATATATAGTCATAAGGATTTCTATAAAAAATATAAGGGATATTTTAGCAAATATAAAAAAAAAGTAATATAGTGGGAGGAATTGAAATTTATCTGGTGGACAAATTTAGGAAAAGAGAGAATAAAAAGCGAGAGAGAAAGAAGAGGAAGCAGCGCGTCACAACACGCGGCGAAGCGAGCATCCGCAGCCCGGCCACTCTCGTTTGTCACCACCCTCTGTGTCTCTCTGTCTCTACTCGCATCTTCCGGTTTCGTTTTACTTCTTTTCTTTCCTTCCTTCTCTCCTTTTTTTTTTTTTTTGTTTCAGTCTCGAGTCTCCACTTCTGGTTGCATCTAAGGAACAAGTAGCAAAAACATCTCTAATCTTGGCTTTTTCTTTTTACAATTAAATGTAGAATTGTGTATATATATGTGCAGAACTTAAGGGAAGCTAAAGCTTTAAACAGTTACTCTTCTTTTCCTTTTCAACTCTGAGTTTCAATTTCGGTTTTAGTTTGTGTTTCAGCGTCGGCGTTTGTCCCCACCGAGAACTTCCCAAGAAAAGAAAAATAAGGACATCTGGGCTTTCTGGGTTTTTTTTTTTATTTTTATTTTTTGTGTTTTCTTTGATTCTGCTGTTACAAACTCTGTTTTCAGTCCTTCAGTTCCTACCCCTTTCTTCTCAGTTTTTCTCAGTTTTTTCTTCTTTATAGGTAATAATAAATATCTGCAACTTTCCTTTTATTTTCTTACTTAGAGTCAAGTGTATAGTTTTCGTATATTTGGGGATGGGGATAATCAGGGAAGGCGAGAAATAAGAGGAATTGAGATCCGGAAGAGAGAGATAGAGAGATAGAGGGAGAGATTCTGGCTGTGGACAAAGAGAGAAGAAAATGGGTCTGGGTTGTCATTTTCTAAATTTAGAAACAGAGCATGCAGGAAAGGATTACGAGCTTTAATTACTCTGAGTAAGAGAGAGAAAAAGAGAGTGGGTTCACTGGTTGAAGATCATTCCTGAGACAAATTTCCTTGGTTAATAAATAAAATAAAATTTTATAAATATATAAACCCTAAATAAACCATTATAAATTTACAGCAACTCCTCTCCTCATCTTCATTGTTGTTGTCAATCTTCTTCTTGCAAGATAAACAAGGAAGGAGGAGTTCTTAAAAGTGGTAGTGATATTCAGTTCAGTTTCTGCGGTCCTTGTTTATGCAAGGTTAGAGAGAGAGAGAGGAGAGAGAAAAAAGAGAGAAGAGGCAAGGAGAAAGAGAAGCATCAAAGCATATCATCAAGATGACTTCGCCTTTCTGGGGATCGAAGGTTTTTTCTGCTAGCCATTCCAACCTGGAATGCTTTCTCGATCGCATAACCCCTACTGTTCGTGCCCATTTCCTTCCCAAGGTGATTTCTTTTTCTTTTCTCCTTTTTTTTTTTTTTTACAGATGTTTAATGCCATATTCATCACCATCACCGTCCTGATCAGTCAAGTTTCTTTTTTCTAAACATGAATTTTGCCTTTTGCTTATTTATGCTCTGTGTCTGGGTCTCTCTCTGTGTGAATTTTGGTTGATGGGCTTTGTTCTGCTAAAGGGTGTATATAGAAATGAAAAGATCTTGTCTTGTTGATTTGAACTCTTAGGCGCCTTTGATTTTTCATGGTTTCACTGTTTCTTTCCAAATATTATGCCTGCATTTCTTTATTTTGCTGTTACATGGATGAAATATTACGTCTTTTATGTACTTGTATAGAGCCATTTCCTGTTACATTTCTTTTCTTCCGCTCCAGTGCTATTTGTCTGTTTTTTCCCCTCTTATTGAGGGTCCTTAATCAGCATTGGATCATACTGATTTCTCTCTCTCTCTCTCTCTGTTTGGAAGATTTTCTCTTTAATTTACATTTTCATGCAGTTAGAAAGTGTTTCACTTGCTTTCTTACTTGAAAAGCAAACCGAAAATTTATAGAATGAGTATGACATTTTATTTGCTGTTGTAGATCTTCTGTTTTGTTTCTAGAAATCCCTGCATTAATTTATTAATGAAAAACTTTTGGCATTTTTGTTCAACTGCAGCTATCTATTTTGGGCCTTTCCCGTACAGTATGTGCAAGGAAAAAATTGTTATGTGATTTTTTTCTAACTTTTACTTTTATTTATCTTTTGTTAAACTTTGTAGAGTTGCCTTCGAGATCTAAACAGTCCTTGGCATCCTGTTGGGAAGAATACTATTGAATACTTCACATTGGCGGATCTCTGGGACCAGTTTGATGAATGGAGTGCCTATGGACTTGGTGTTCCAATTGTGCTGAAAGGGGGAGAGACTGTTGTTCAGTTCTATGTTCCCTACCTCTCTGGAATTCAGATTTATACTAGCAAATCCTTTAACTCCCTCAGGTGTCCTTGTCAACTATCTTTTAGTGCCTTATACTCAGTTCAGTTTGATGATGTATCTGGATATTCTTCGGGATTTTTAACAATGAGATTGGACATTCATGCATCTCTATTCCAGGAATCCAAGAGAAGAATGTGAAGTGGTTGAATTTGAGAGTGATTCTTGGAGTGAAGACAGTGAGAGTGATAAGCTGTCAAGGTCTCTGAGTAACAACTCAAGCAGGACGTGGGATGCTGTATCTGAAGATTCAAATTTTGACCAGGAGGGCTCGTGGCCAATGAAGGACAGACTTGGCTCCCTTTACTTTCAATACTTTGAGAGGTTGCCTCCTTTTTTGAGGGTTCCAGTTGTGTACAAGGTATATATCCTATTTGAAGGGTGGTTTGGAACTTGCTTTCTTTTTTGTGGTGTCTGTGGTGTGCTTTATTCTGTTGGAGAAAGAGTAATAGTAGAATTACATACACAATTCCCATTGCTTATGGTTTTATTGGTTCTCTTGATTTCAGATCAATGAATTGGCACAGAACTATCCAGGTTTGATGACATTCAGAAGTGTGGATCTTTCACCTGCTAGTTGGATGGCCGTTGCTTGGTATGCTTAGTTAATGGCACCATGCCATATTTCTATTAATGAAGATTATTTACATTACAGAAATTGATGGAAAATGCTATGCTGTTGGGAACTATTCAAACAGAAATTGAGTCACAGAAGTTTTCTAGGTCTTTTTCCATTTTGTATGTCTATTTGGTGACAAATTTCCAAGTTGCTCCCCTTCTATGGCAATCTGACACTTATTGTATGCTCTGCGCTCCACAATCATATTGGCTAGGTTTTAGTTTTAGCTAATTCTTGTTATGTGGCACCATGAAACTCCTTCTGGTAATGAAGAACCTTTATATCACAGAAATTGATGGAATGTCCTGTGCTGTTGAAAACTATTTAAAGTTTACCACTTCATTGCAACTTGCAACACAAGTATTTGATTCTTTTTCCTTCATTTCTTTTGAAAAAGCATTTGATTCATGAATGAGGGGCAGACATGTTTTGTATGCTCTGCATTCCACAACCATATGGCTAGACATGTTCTGTATGCTCTTGGCCTAAACTACACTTTCTATTAAACATATTCATGCATAAGAAAAGACTTTGAAGGGATTTCTTGTTTCTTAATTGGGAAAGAAGCAGGATGGAACATTCCAGGAAGGGTTTTGACCAATGTGTGCATGCCTGTTTACATTTTTCTTAGTCAGTGCAAAGACCTAAAATGAATACTCAATTGTTTGACTTCTTAATCCTTTTCCAACCCTGCTGATCTGGATTGGTTTTGTGAAATTAATGAATTTAAGACTTTTGCTTATAGATGGCATTGTATCTTTCTTTATTGGCCATTAGGTATCCAATTTATCACATTCCATCTGGGAGAAATGTGAGGGACTTGTCTACTTGCTTCCTTACTTATCATACACTTTCATCGTCTTTCCAAGGTATGTGACATCTTCCTGGATTGGTATCCTTTCATTCATTAATAGAAAATTTGTTTCTTGCTCTGTGCTTACTAAATTGTTGTCAGACATCAATAGTAATGGCTTAAAATTCTGTTTGAATTGATTAATATGGCATTTACATGACAATCAAATGGATATTCATGGAAAAAAGAACAATATGCACTTCTGGATTTTGGTGCTGTTGGTGGTTTGACCTGTAATTCACCCGAATCTGCTTAGTGTTGTTTTAATGAGTAGCTTTTGTATAAAACAATGAACTTGTTTTATGCAATAGATGCTCAACGATTGAGGATGCTAGTGAAGCTTGAATGGCTGCCAATTTGAATGTTTTTTGTTTGCTAAATCAAGGAAAAGGGTGCACTTTGGTCAATAAAATTTCCTGGTGTTTTTTTTTTCCTTTTTCTAACTTGTCATTTAGTTGGATGAATGGCAACCACTTAACTTTTATTATGTCAAACTGATGTTTGTTGTGTTTGGAGGGAATTTCCACTTTATTTGTCCTATGTGCTAATGGCATCTTTGTGTTTGAAACTATGATAAACTATTTTGCAGTGTATTTTGTTCCAAACATCTCACTTTTCTGATTCCTGATGCTATGATTTAAGCTGAAATGTTGTAACTTAAAACACCGTGGTACCAAACAGCATCCTCGTTATCATGCTAAAGTCATTTAAAAATGAATATGTTACATCATTTACAGGATACCTTGTCTTTCTTGTTGTTCAAAATAAGATTTAATCCATTCAAGAAAACTGTGATTTCAAAGCCTTTTTTGATCAAAGCTAAACCCATCCCTATTTCAATCTTCAAATCATTAGTCCAAATTGGAATTGTTCTATATATGCTAATCTTTAATAAAAGACTTGTTTCGTATGTGAAAAAAATATTTTCTTTATTCCCATTTTTATGAAATATTATTGATCTTAAAAATATAGAGACATTTCAGGCTTCCAAAATATTAAGTACTTTTTCTTCCTCCTATAAAGTGGCCATCAAATTGGTTGAGTCAACAATGTTGGTGGCTTGGCGCTATTGTTTTTTTTTTGCCTAGAAAATGCCTAAGCTAGAGATTTGGTTTCCTTTGTGTTAGACTTAATGGGATCTCAAGACTTGCCACTTTCAGATCATTATAATTTAAATATTCCATTAAAGCAAAGTTGTGATTTAAATATTCATGGAAAGCCTTATAACTTATAAGTTACAAGCACCCTTTCACATTTATCCTTTTCTTAAATGGTCTTTCCCAAGTAAGTATTGTTTTAGTCAGGCATACATATTATCTAATTTCATTTCAATACATAGTGCTAAAGAGATATCCTTGGATTCCACATTCCTGGAGACCCATTAGTTTGGTGGTCATCATTCTAACCAACAGGAATTAGAATAAGTTCAATAGGGCATTTATTGACAATTGTTTTGGTTACCCTAGGGTCTACATCTCTTTCAGAAAAAAAGCCCAGTCTCACAGTTACTGTAACTTATCAGGTCTTTGTTGCATTATTTATTTCATTATTACCACAGAATTGCAACATGCAAGGTTATCTATTTTCTTTTCTCTTCATCCTTGCTACTCTTATATGCCTGCTTCTCTATGTGTTTGAATCTCATGGTTGCCTGAAAATGATGGTTTCTCTACCCAAATGCTTTTGTTCTGGTAATAAGTCCATCATTAAGGTGGCTAATGTCCTCCAATTTCTTGTCAACATTTATTCTTGGAGAGGAGTTCCTGTGAATGCTCCCTTTGTCTTTCTATTGGGCAAAGAGTAAATGGGGCAAAGCTGCATGTTTTTATTTGAAGCGAATTATTGTTGCTTAGTTTTGTTTAGTTTCTTGCTTTGATCCAAATTTTTATGATCTTAGAATGGTATGATATTGCAGATATTGCATCAGAGGAAGCCAAGGAGAAAAGTTTTTGTTCATCAGAAGAGGGAGACAAAGGAGAGGAACCTGAAGGGGAGTGTAGTGGCAGTATATCCCTTCCTCCCTTTGGACTGGCCACTTACAAGATGCATGGGAATCTATGGAGGAATCCTGCATCCACGGACCAGGAAAAGATCACTTCTCTCACGAGTGCTGCAGATTCCTGGTTGAAGCAGCTCAGATTGGAACACCATGACTTCACCTACTTCACCACTCACTCTTAACATGTAAATGAATTCCCCCAATCTTTTCCCATGTTTGTTTTTAACAACTGCGCAACCACCGCTGAAAGGCCTTTCCCCAGCTTTAACTTGTTAGAAAAACATGTAATGAGAGTTCCCATGCAAAGCTAACATGTTTTTCAATCGAAAAACTCCAAGAGATGTTAAGAAATGCATGACATGGATCTAAGAAACCCTCAGGGGAATTTTGTGGACTGAGTTGTACTTATTTTAGAGTGACAAGCATACGAGAGAGAGAGAGAGAGAGAGAGAGGTGGTTCTATACTAGTTTTTGTTGTTTTCTTCTGTGTAGATGCTTCAAACAATGTTTTTCATTTGGTTATATTATATAATGGTTGTAAACTTGTAATTAGTTGTTTGCATCATTCAACATCTTCTCTTTGCTTACTCAGTGATGATGATATACAAATATTTTGTCTAGTTTATACATGATTAGACATTAGTGATGCCTGCGAGTAAAAATAAGAATGGCAGATTTTCCCTTTTTGGTAAAAATAAGAATGGTAGTTGGGCAACCAGTTTTTCTGCGGGGTTGATGACTTGGTAAGTGTGTGGCATCGATGCTGTTGCTTCAGAGATGTTTCTTGAGAAAACGGTGCTGTATGCATGAAGGTCTGTTGCACTGTTTTTTCAGAAAACGACTCATTTTTTCCAAAATGGTGCTGTATGCATGGTCTGTTGCACCGTTCTCTCAGAAAATGGTTCCTTTTTTTTTTGTTTGGCATCGATGCTGCCACATTGGTTGTTTTTTTTTTTTTTTTTTTTTTTGGAAAATGATACTTGTTTTGTTTGGTACCAGTACTGTAGTGCCGTTTTCAGCATTGGTCTATATTATCTAACATCCAAGATGATGCCATATTGATATCATGTCATTGTACTGTTGGCAATAACGAGCAGAAAACATTGAATTTGGTGTTTTTTTATACCATATTTTCCCAAATTTTAAGGCATGATTTGGAGTAATTTTTTCCTGGAAAAATGATACTAAATAAGAGTCTGTTTTCTAAAGCATCACTTTTTTTGATGTGGCATCTACGTGATACCGTTTCCTGAGAAAACGGCATTGATGCCAAATATTGCTTTGATTGTGCATGGCGGAAGGAATCCTTTGATGATGAAGTCATGAACATGGTTCAAAGTATCGATATGCCTCTACCTGTATTTAGATACAGGCAGAAATACCTTTTTGTTTTAATTTTTTTTTCAAAATTTGGTCTTTGGGAAGATATTTAAACATATTTTTTATTGAAAAAGAGTAGGGTCCTGAAACACCTATAAACAGGTGTATCTGACCCCAAAGATATGATACAATACATTCGATATGGGATTTATTGTATCGAAATTTTGAACCTTGATCATGAAAAGACTCACAGGACTGAATGAAAATGACCATTCAACCTGTTAAAACTTAAAAGCTATTATCAAAGTTACTTGGAGGAAAAGAGTTTGACAAAGTGATGAGTCTTGGTGACCGTTCAACCTGTTCCATCATCTCCTACATGTAGAATTACCCATGGAAGAAGTTTTTGTGCATGTGGAAAATGGAAATACAAACAAAAAAAAAATCCCAAGATTTACGGGTTTTGAATTTTGATAAGAGAAAATATGATATACAAAGTCCAATTTAAATGGGGTTATTTCAAATCAACAACACAATGTCCACAACCTTGAGTCTTGATTCTTGGTGACTTATAATAGCTTTCAATACACATGCTGCTGTGGAGGCATGGTTTTCGAACCGTTGTTGATCTGGATGGTTAGATTGTTTAGCTTAGAAATTGTTCAGACAATCATTTCACCCTTAACTTATATCTTAACAAAAAAACGTTGATTTGATCAATAATTCATTGACTTAAAATAAACAAACAAATTGGAATTTGGACACCAATTTGTGTGGACCTTTTCAAGGTACCAGATTGATTTTAAAATAAACAAACAAAGTTAAAGATTAAGATATCTTAATTCCTACAGATGGGTCTAAATTTTTAGGCCATGTTCATCCAAAAACGTGGACCATCAACTGGACAAAAGGATGGATGAGTGGGGAGGCTGTGCTCTGATATTGGAGTTCGCACTCCATTGGAGGTGGTGAAAGTATGAATTTCGTAGGTCCCACTCCTAAAGAAAGAGTAAACAACTTTGGAAATTCTTTGTTGGGGATAAGAACAAAACCCACAATTAATGACTAATGGGGGTTTCTTGCTAGCTTCTGTTGACAAATTTTAATGGTCTCCGAAATGGAGGATGTTATCCACACTAATGCAGGAGTTATATCTTTGTTATTATTATATTTCTTCTAGTTTTAATGCCAATGTAGTGTGTAGTGCTGTAGGGTTAATGAAGAAATCAATGAGAGAGAGAAATGACAACGGGTGGGAAACATATTCTCCATCCCAACCCTAATTTTGAAATAAATTCCCGTCCCAACCATGATCCCCGTTAGGATAAAAGTTACCTTCCAATCCCAATCTCTGACGGAGATGGGTTTATTCGAATCCTCAAAGCTTTTAATTAAAAGTATTTTTTGAAAAATAGATTTACTTAAAATAAAGAAAAATCTTAATATAAATGCTATTTAAATATTTTTGATATATATGTAAATAATATTATATAATATATCTTCGATGTAAATAATATTTAATATAGACTCAATTTGGAAGGAATGCAAATACAAATATATAGTGTAAAACATTTTATTTTGTATTATTTTATATGTATTAGTAAACATGTACGTGCATTTGTACGTAATAGTATCTGTAAGACAAAATTATTTACAATTCATGGACAATTTTTGAATAGTTATAAGTGGGCAGTTTCTTAATTATTATAAGTGAGCAGTTTTTAGAGTAAGAGTAAAGGACATATATGCCCTCTTTATGCTGCTTAGATAGGGGATAGAAAATGTCCAATGAAAATTCCAGAAAAAATGGACATTCACTCTTTTATAGGTAATATAGATATAGACTTGTATTATACACATTTATATTTATACTCTTCCCAAATTAAGCCATATATAATCGAGATGGGGCAGGGTGGGAGACTTGATGGTTTCTCTAACCTTTATTTGAAAAAGGACATTCTGGGATGTAAAAGGAATGACCATTGACAGATGCTCTCTCTCTCTCTCCCCATATAAGACTCTCTCTCTCACACACACAAATGTAAGACCTAAAATTCCTCTCCTCCAAATAAATGATTTGAACAGAATCAATCCCCTATCGAACATCACCACCCAATTTGTTAAAATTGTACCTAGAACCATATACGGTAATGAGTCGGTTTGTCTTGGGGAGCCCACCAGACCCAGCTCATTCTACCTTGCTTTTTGATGACAGTGATTTGGCTCCCAAAGAATCTGAGGATGCCTTTCAACTTGAGATAAAAAGAAAAGATGAGACACCATGTTGACATGGTGAACAAAGTTCTTGGATTGCAGTTACCAGCTCAAAATGCTGCCTGCTACAAGATTTGAACCACTATTGGTGTTATTCACTCCACTGTCTATGATTCCCTTTTCTCCCCCCTTTCTCAGAAACAATGGGCATCCCATCTTTTGTGGGTTGAACTGAACTCAACAAACTCATGGCTTGAATAGGCTAAGCTTACTAGTCAGGTGGATGGTCTTAAATCTTAATGGGGTCCACGTCCATCCAGATGGGGACCCACCCCACTTGATCAACTTCAACTTAGGTTTGATTTGGTTGTGAATTTGTTCAACCTTCAATGGACCTGAGACCGGTATGGTTTTGTAATTCTTTAAATTGGACAACCCAACTCCCATCCTTGATCCAGATTAACTGATAAAACTTGAACCAACCCTAACTGGTCAGGGTTTGATTGGCCTTAACTGATCAAACTACCTTTAAATTGGGCAACCAAACTCCCATCCTTGGTCCACATCAGTCTTATTCTCAGCTCAAAACAAATTAGGTACATATATTTGGCATTGCTAGGGCCTAGGGATGCAAGTAGTTCAGATTAACTGATAAAACTACCTTGAACCAACCCTAACTGGTCAGGGTTTGGTTGGCCTTAATTGGATTTAAGGTCTGCTAAAGTATAGGTCGCATTTGGTATCATTGCTGTTTCTACCTGAAAAGTTTTGGGTTATACAAATTGTTTTTTGCTTTTTTTTTGCCACGTTATCCAATTGTTGAGATATGTATTATCACATCACATGTGAGTTATTTCAGCTAGAAAGATTAGGCTTTACTCCGGTAGAGCAAGAAACACTAATTTGATGTTTCTGAAAACAGCCTCTCTGTACATGCATTTTTAAGGTATGCCTATTTCAATCATAAATAACATCAAATGACAATTGTATGACAATTTATATTGATCAAAACCAAAACATTTCAGGTAGAAATAGCAATGGTACCAAACACAACCATAGTCTTAGCTGAGTTTAGGGGCACTATTCATGAGACAGGATTGGTTGGTTTCAGTATTCCATTATATTTAGGTTGTGTTTGGTACTGTTGCTGTTTATACTGGAAATGTTTTGGGTCGATCAATTTAAATTGGTATAAAACTGTAATTTGAGGTTGTTTATAGCTGAAACAAGGATACTTTATTTGTTGTCAGGGGCGTCTTCCAGTTGGGGAGTAACTTGAATATATATGATGTGACAACACGTATCTTTCACCAATTTGTATTTGTATTGATCAACCAAAAAATTTTCACTTAGGCTGAGTTTGGAAGGAGTACAAATGCAAATATGTAGAGTGCAAAACGTTATATTTTGTATTATTTTATATGTATTTATGCTATATATATTTACATTTGTACTACTTCCAAACTGAGCCTTAGAAACAGCAATGCCACCAAAAACAACCTTAGTCAGGTAGGATTGTGTTAGGATTTGAGTTGAGATGGGCTGGACTGGGATTTCTGGGCCTTAGTCTTTGAAGCTTGGGGCGGGCTGGCTATGGTCATCCTAATGGGTAGTAGTTTTGTCAAACTTTGACTCAGTAAAGCAAGCAGATAACGGGTATCATTGATCTTCTTCTTTTTCATATTTATATAAAGATATATATATATATATATATATATATATATATATATATATATATATATATTATGTTTTCAAGGTTAAAGGGTTTAAGCTTAACATGTATTGATATAGTCTAAATGGTTCCTCCAATCAAACGTAGACATGTGGCATGCTGAGAGGCAACCTCAGGCCTCGGAGAGTAATTCCGACATTTCCCCTTTGAATTAATGAGGAGTCATAATGACAGGTATTACGACCTTGGGCGTGCCTCTTGGTACATTAATGACAAAGTAACGCTCCACCACATGGTCATTGCCTTAATGACCCTGGCCTTGGTAAGTTGATAACAGCCGACGTGCGAAGCTATCAAGGAAAGCCCATTATGCCGCTTCCAGGAGGGAGCTCGCCTATAAGTGTGGTTCACCGATCACAAGTAATCTCTCTTACACACTCTTATCTTCCTGCTTGCTCTAACTCTCTTCTCACTTTGATACCTCGGCTCTCTAAGGCCTCAGCTAACTTAATTGTTGGAGTCATCGCTCCTAAGGCCTCTAACATCTTTTTGTATTGACAGGTGGCTAGATGGGATCCTTGGCCAAAGCACTTCAAAAATTCCAAGACTGTCCTCATTAATTTCAATGACATCAATTGGCATCACCTGTGGAAATGACTACAGCCAAATTTTCACTTCCAAGTGCTATGGCCAATCATCAAGACAACTCTAAGACAAGAAACCACTCTTCCCCTCCTACACCCGAAAATCATGTCACATAAGAGAAATTCCAAGTGTTGATGCAGCAAGTGGCCTTTCTTCTTGACCAGGTGCATAACCTGTAGCAACTAGCAGTAGGCCAACTCCAATACAGACAACCACTAACATTCATTAACACCTTGGCAAGAGATCAGCTAACATTTCACTGAGTCATTACCTCGGAAATTGCACCCAAGATGACTTTTTCAAGGCTGATAGTAGTAGTTGCTTAGTGAGCCAATACGCTACCATATGCACATTGCCACCATGCTAGTTGCCCCACAGTCAGGCAACAAAGGAATGCAGATAAAAATAGGGATCAAGCCACACCTAGCCATTAGAGAAGTCAAGGAGGCGAGAGCCAAGCCTTTACCATGCCATCGCCGTCATAGCTACCACTACAACTCGGTAAGTAAAATGGAAGCATATACTCTTAGAACCTTGATTACATCTAACGCTTTAATGCCAAGTTCCTTGAACTCAAATCTTAACCAGGCCATCGCCATCATAGCTTCCACCAATGGCTTGGCATCCCCAGCCTTCAGCTTCTCACTCACTAAGAGGCTGCTACGGAACATGGCAGAGTTCTTATTGAGAGGGGAAAAATATATCGATGTAGATGAAGCTAAGGCCAGTAAATGAATGATCGATTAACAATGATCAGATAGGAAGAGAGAAGATAGAGATAAGTTGAGGCCTTGCAGCTCACATAACAAGAAGGATAAGTCTAAATAGGCTATACTGTCGTATGAGAGTTACACTCCGCTCAATGCTACTAGAAGCCAGATCCTTATACAGGTCCGGAAGTAGGAGCTCAAGCGATGGCCTTCCAAGATTAAGAATCCCAAAAAGAGGAATCAAGACAAGGCTATTCAAGATGTTGTAAATTGACCTTCTAATTAATAAAGCTATGTTTTCTGTTGCTGATAAAAGAAATATGGGCCAAAGTAAAAGAGTAGAAGTGAAAATCTAATATGGAAAATCAAATTCTATAATTTTCTCTTAGCATTTTAGGAGATTTCAGTGCAAAAAGGGCCAATAAATTCTTAGTTTCTCTTGGACAAATCAAGTGGGATTTTTTTTCTTATTATTCAAAATCTAACATCCCAAGTCCAAGTTGGTAATTTTTCTCATTTCTCTTCTTAATGGATATTTTATTCTTTTTATTGAGTTTTTCTTTTTTTTGCATAGATCAAATCATTTCTTTTAAACTATTGGTTAACCATAAATCTAATATCGATTATATGGATGATTCTTCATATGTTTCCTTTCTTCTAAATCAGTCATTTGAATAATTTGAGAACTTTGCATATTGAAATGTAAGATGTTTATAGTTGTTAGTTGATTAGTTATTTTTTTATTTAACGCTTAAATGCTAAAACATATTTATACCTTCTATCATTCTAATTTAGCATATTATATGTTATTTTATCAATTTATAAACTTTAATTAATTCTTCTTAAGCTTTGAGGCTTATGCCTCACTTTTTTGGTCCATTACACCTCAGCTATGCCTTCAGCCTTTTTAAAACCTTGGATAAATTAGGATTATCACATTATATTAGGAACTTTTTGCTTTTGTTTTCCCAAGGTGTGGAAAAATGGAAATTATCCAAATTCTGCCCAAAAGAGGGCTTTCAAAATCCGCTAATTTTGGTAGAATTTATAACCTTGAAATCTTCCAAGTTCCATATTGCCAAACCTCATCTGATAGTTGCAAACCAAGTAAATGGAATCCGCCCCCTTTAAAAGCACAGCCTCCTATTTTTCAGATTCCACCTCCATGTTTTGATGATACAAAATGCAGGGTCGTTGCATCCTGTGTTTTATTTTGTTGCTACACTCATGACTCATCAAAAGGAAAATTTGATAAATAAGTAAATTTCTAGGATAGATTTTTGTTGATACTAGTACCAGAATCAAGGGGAAGCAACAAAAAATCTGATTATTTTGAGGACAAACATGATAAACCAGCAAATGCCATGTCTGTTCAACAGTTAACCCCCGAACCCTCGGACAATTTTGCATCCTCATCTCAAACCAACCTAAAACCCCATCAAGTTCTGCCAATCAATCTACCAGCAACCAGTCTGGAGGGTTTGAAGACAACACCATTATGGATTGATGAACCACAAGAGTTATGCTGCAAGAGCAGACCCAATAGCCCAGAATGCTTATCAACATCAAGGTCAATTCCAATAAAAGAAGGGAGATCAATTGATGGGGAAATAAGACCAGAGAGGATAGGAAACAGAGAAAGGATAATGTGTCAGGGGAAGAAGATGGGAGAGAAACTGAAGATACAAGGCTCATGATAATAGGCTAATAGCTACCAAACCTGCTTGTATTCTCTTATGTTCCGGTATTCCACATGAATAGGGCCTCCAGAGCCCAAAAGATGATAAAATCCAATATTTGTAAGTGATCAAAAAGCTCTTCAGGCATTGTTAATATAGAAATTTCATATCCTTTTCTGGTTATCCAGATGCTCTTAGGGGCCTCAGAGCTTGTATTCATTTAACTAGTTATATTTTTTAAGGTAAACAAGAAAGAAAAAAAGAGGGAAAAGAAATCATATATTAGCCAGAATCTATGTCGCTGTTATGGAGAAATACACAAACTGATAAAATCTCCGATCATGTCAAACATGCTGAGACAGTAAACTAGAATTACAGCAATGGAAAAAATCCAGATTGCTATGCATGTCTTGCGGAACCATCAAATGCCTTGTAATGGACCATTAATTTAACCAACTTGTAAAGGACAATGCATCCTAACATGGCTTGAAATCCTTAAGCACATGTATCCATAGGGCTCGTGACCCATTTTTCCTATCCCATGTAGACCACCCAAAATCACTTGATAAATGCCTGCACATCTACCACAAAACAAAAATTAGTTTACAGAATTATTGGCCAGAACCTAGTCAAGGCTGTAAAACTACCAGTTATCCAATTTTATTTTTTTTTTCCACTTTAATGTCAGATGTTCATGGAGATGATTGGGCCAACTTGTGAAGGTAAGAATTTTAAGTAAAACAACATTGATAGCAGAAGCAGCAACAACAATAACAATAATTTAATAACACCATTAAAAACTCACCTCTTTGGGGCTGGCAAAAAGACCTATCTAAGCTCTGTATGGTTTTAGAATGATACGCTAAGATACTGGAAAAATGAGAAGAAATCTTTCACTTCATATCTTGAAGTGCTTGTATCCGTATTCAGGGTTTGTCATCCCTTCTTCCCAATCACCCATACGGTGGCCCCCGAAAACCACTTGTTGAATGCCTAAGTATCTGTCATAAAACAAAATTTAGACTACAGATTTATTGGGAAGTAGCTGCAGTACCTTTTCAAGGCAGCTAAATCATCAGTTATCCAAGCCAGCTATAATAGTATCCTAGAACTACTAGTGAGAGGCTTACTCTGAACTTAATACAGTCAAGCAATTGAGGAGCACATCAACAGCAAAAAAATCACAGGTTCCAAGGTCTACCCTGTTGAACAAATCCAGATAAGTTAGCTCTTTCTCTTCATAGATTTTTAAAACAAATACAATAACATATTTAAAGAAAATCATCAATTCTTACCAAACCCGCCCCCAATTGTCCTGAAATTCAACATCACTGATATCATGGAAAGAAGATGGCATCACTTTAAAACCCTTATCTGCATCATAGAGGGGATTGTACTCAAAGGATGAGTTTGCCAACTGCAATTCATATCACACCTAAGTTAGCTTCTTGTATGATGATGGTAGTAGAGGCTAGCAGCAGCATGGTAGCAGTAGTAGTATAGAGCAAAGGAGAAGATAGCATTTCAAATCTCCACTTGTAAATTTGCAAAAAATCTCAATAAGCTGAATTAAATTCTACAATCAAAAAAGAAATAAACCAACAAAATAGAGAAGAAAAGAGGAGAGAGGAAGAGAAGGGAATGTTTGAGAGAAAGACCAAATAATGGGAGCCAGTGTTGTCACACTATATTTTATACCAACTGCTGGAATCAAAAGGAAAATTACAAGTATACCCCTAATACGGCAACAGCAATAAAAAAGTGAAAAATAAGGCCCAAAGCCAATACACAAAAGGCCTAAGAGAAAAGGAAACAAATAGCCCAAAGGAGTAATAAAATGATAGGCCTATCTTGTTGACACTCCACCAAAAACTTAGAATATATGTTAACCATGCACTGCTTGTTTACATAGTTATCAAGTTAAGGCTTCATAACCTATTAAATATCAGCTAACTGTTTTCAAGAAGCAACAAAGGAAGACAGACTTCTTCAGAAACCACTCTCTCCTAGATAAAATGTCTATCGACCTCATTATGTTTAGTTCTGTCATGTTGAATTATGTTGTGAGCAAATATTAAGGGCTGCTTGATTTATCACAAGACAACATTATTGGTTTCTCATTCCCCAATTCATTAAAGAGAGATCTCAGTAACAACATCTATAATACTCTATAGGCCATGGTCCTATATTCTGTCTCAGCACTAGAGCTAGCCATTATATATTGCTTCTTGCTTTTCCAAGAAACCAGATTACCATCAACCAAGGTACAGTATCTAATTGCAAGTCTTATGAAATTGTATTGTTATAACAAACAAGGCAGCTATAAACAAAAAGAGATAGCCCAGTTATACATAA